ATAACACAATACTAAAATGATGAACTCTTACCTTGGAACAATTTTACCGATGGTTATGAAGTGAAAAGCGCCTGCACCCTACGAATAAAACGAGAGAAATGAAGCGTACTGCACGGAAAACTACACCAGAAAGGGGATTTTCCTGAATTGCAGGGTGTGATTTGTAAACTTCTCGGAGTCTGATCGAATAGTACGATTACATTATGGATCAAGGCCCGTCTGGGTTTGTTTTTTTTTTGGGGGGGGGGGGGGGGCGGGGAGGGAAGTTTGATGGAATATGACCCCACTGCAAGGACCTGATTCATGCCAGATTATTGGCAATCTGACAATGGATGAGGAGCTCTGCCTTTGTGTAAAAGAAACATGCCTCAGGAATCGTTTCAAGAAGTTTGTTAGCACTTGACTATGTAGATTCTCTGAGACTGCAGGAGACTTGTACATATGGAGCTGAAGTTACATGCTACATAACCAGAGTCATGCGCTGAAAAGTGTAACTGACAAACCAGTTGATACAAAATTATGATCACAAGGTTAAGATCACACAAGTTCCTGCTGTGCTTCCTTCTCTCCAGAGTCCATGTCCCATCAGTTCTCGGCCATATCTTCTTTGATTTCCCCATGTATGTGGATCCCCTTCTTTGTCTGTTTCCACACTTATCTAAAGAAAAGTGTGCCATAGCAGCCACAAAGACTACCTTGTCCTGGAAGAGGACCTTTAGACCTACCTGTTTTGTACTACAGAAGTGCAGTAAGAATTGCATCCGAATGCACTCCTGTAGTGCAAAAAAGGTGGTTTGGGATACAATCCCGCTCCCAATCCCGATCCCGCAATCCCGCCATCCCGCCATCCTCCCCCCCTCAAAAAATATGTAGGACCCTTGCTCGGTAACAGATCCCCAATCCCAATCCCCAATCCCTATTCCCTATCCCTAACCCCTATCCCTATCCCTATCCCTAATCCCTAACCCTAATCCCTAACCCCTAACCCTATCCCTAATCCCTAACCCTATCCCTAATCCCTAACCCTATCCCTAATCCCTAACCCTAAGGCCTAATGCCTATTGGGGTGATTGAGAAGGGTGGTTTTTTTTTTATTTTTGAAGTCGAGCTTTGATCGGTTTGACTGGAGGGGGATTGCGGGATTGCGGGATTGCGGGATCGGGATTGGGAGCGGGATTTACCGCTTTTGCACTGTAGGAGTGCATTCACATGTATTTCTAACTACACTTCTACAGTGTATGGCATGTAGGTCCATAGGTCTGGAAGAGTACCAGTTGTTCCAGTTGTTATGCAAGCCCAAGTAATCCAGTATTAGTAACTGTGGATTGAGAATCAATAAATCCTTCTTGCACTTGTATCTTCCAGGGGAAACGATGATGATGGTGATTGTCAGGAGTAGTGTTGTATGGCATGTATGTATGACTGTTTTTTTCTTTTTATGCTTTCTTTTTCTTCTTTTTCTTTCTTCCTTTGACTCGACAAACAAACAAAAAACAATCTAAACTACAAAATAAAAGACCAGCCAAACAAAAAAGAAAAAGAAAAAAAAAATGTACACAATGATAATGACAAAGAATTTTTGACCAGTTTTTTTTTTCTTGTTCTCTTTAACATCTCTCTCTCTTTATCTCTCTTTCTTTCAGTTTTCTTTCTATATATATATATATATAAATATGTATTATATATATTGATCACACAAACACACAAAACACATATACACTTACTTCAGAAATGGCAACAAAAAAGAGAACGAGCAAAGGAGGAAGAGGATCAAGTGAGCACATAATCAACCCCCCGAAAAAACAAAAATCAAAATTAAACAAATTGAGTAAAAAATGAAAACTCACCTGTTGTTTTACATCCCCACCTAAAGATTAAGAACCCCTCTAAACAAAAGAAAATAAGAAGAAGAAAAAAACAATAATTGAATCTAAAAGAGAAAGAAGCACAAAGTCCATCCTAACTCCTAACTACATGAATTTACCAACAATCATTTACGACGAGCAAAGGTCTGTGATAAAAACACAGATAGATCAGTTTCAAACCGATAAGAACAACGAACAAAGGAGGATTACCTTATTTAGCATAGCCAAAGTCTTAGAGACCGATAATTGAACATACTCCAAATCGAGAGTAGGCACATTATCTTTCTGTTTCTCCAACTAATTCCATTCAAACAACCAAACCAAAAAAAAAATTAAATCTAAATGTAAAATGAGAAGAAGATTGAAATAAAGACGAACCAGATCATCGATCTTCAAGTCCATCTCCAAGATCGCTTTCTCTCTCCCTTTATAATGTAAGGCAATGATAAACGTACCCGGAGAAGGAGAGACGATTTGGAAAAAGATGTTTGCTCTCCTTCATAAATAACCCACAACCAACCACAAAAAAAACAACAATATCAGTGATTTTTTTCTGAAAACACATACAACCTAAAAAGAAAATGGAACAAAGACGGACCGATTTTCAGGAACATTAGTGTCCACAATCACCCCGTCTTTTTCGAACTGAGCATGGCTGAATTTGTAGGGTCCAAGGGCGAGTGCCTTCATAGTTTTCTTCTCTTTACCATCGACACTAACCACGCCGACGCCTCCGCCAAGAGTTTTCCCTTTCTGATTAGCCGTCGAGGTGATCCTCACGTTTTGAAGATAGGCCTTATACTGTTCCAATTGCGAACGTAGATAATTGTTATGATCGCCGATGGTCTTATAGACCGATTCCAAGGACTTAGTCTCCAATAACACTTTCTCTCTCATGTTCCCTAAATGAGTTAATTCAGCCGCGATCTCATCCACCAATAATTTATGACCATCCTTCCGATCACAGAGCTTGATTTCCTCCAACTCCCGTAACATTTCCTTGACCTTCAGTCCTTTACGCACTAAGACCGCATCCTTAGCCGTCGCTGCTCGTTCGGCAATCTGCAAGAGGTTCATCGGCCGCTTCTCCGTCAGCTGTGGGATCGATCGGATCAGTTGGACAAAGATCGACTTGGTCTCCATGTATAAGATATCGTTCTGTGTCAGATTGTTTTCCGCCATCAATGCTGTCGTGATATCTTGGATCGGAATCTCCCATCGACTGTAAAGTGGTAGCTCTATCGTCCGATTCTCTTTCCGAGGAACCTGCGCTGGAGCTGGTCCGATTTCCTCCAGAAGTATTCGTAAATGTTGGCGTTCGTCCTTGGCCTGATTCAGATTAGACTCTGGGAGTTAGTCTGCTGAGTCTTCTTTGGGGTTCCCTTGAAGGTTTTTCATCCACTTAATCTTAGCTTACCAAGTGATCGAGGTGGGAAACGAGAAGGGCATGGGTATTGTACAGTTCGTTGAGAGTGATGTTGATTTGCAGATCTTTCTTAGATAGAGCCATGTACTGGTCCATCTGAACTCTCAAAAAGAAGAGAAAATGAACATCAGCAATCCAAAGACCGATCGTCCCACTCTCACAGACATGAGGAAAAGATACAATACCTCAAGAGACTCGTAAAAATCCTTGACTTCACATAACAAGTTCAAAAACTTATTGATCCTGGCCTTATTGCTTTCGACAAATGGGTTCAAGCTCATCATATAAGCTTCTTTAGAGTAGGAAGGTTTGTTGGCCAAATTCTGAAGCATTTTGGCGATCTAGACAGGAGACGAGACGGGGTATCAAACATAACACTTCAGAAGGAATTCTGAGGATGAATGCTCACCAGAGTTAATGTACGTCGAGGGTATTTAGCAGTTGTTGGTAAGTTGTCAATTAACATGTATGCTTGTGGGGTAACGATGGCAGGATTGATAAAGCGAAGAAAGAAGAAGCCACCAATCAGAGAGCAAATCGCAATGTCGGTCGCATCTTGGTATTTGCGCTAGCAGACGAAAGCATGAGCAGAAAGAGAGAACAGAGATAAGCAACATTGCGAGATAGTTGATAAGGAGACCAATGAAAACATACTTTGGTCAAACTTCGAATCTGTTTACAGATCCACCGGATCCCATAGGGTACACTGTCAATACTCTCCATAATCGTCATCAGGAAACTGTTGGCAATTTCCATCAACATTGCCAGTCGAGGTGCGATTATATTTTGGACATCCGTATTCGCCGCGGCTACTTCAGCAGAAATCCCGCGGGGAAGATCTTCTGGTAATGATCCGGTCTCGTCTTCGATCTGTTGGATCATTTGATCATAAACCTTAACCAAAAGATAGACAAAATAAATCTCAACCCTATTCAAGAGTTTGATCCACAACATCGCCGGAAAAAAAGACCGGTCTGGTTGAGTTATCTAACCTTGAGAGGATTGATTTCCAAATTCAAATCTTTATGTTCGATGAGACTGTTTATTCGTTCGGCCAAGACAGTTTTCAGATAGCTTTGACCAGGTCCACGCCTTGTATAGGTAGTCATCATTCGAGATACGGGTGTGTTTGCCCGTAATAGTGATCCGAAATCGGTAGTCGTTTCAAATTGAGCAGAGAGGACGGACTGTGTCAAGAGCATGCTGAAAAGTCAGTGAATCAGGCGGGGGGGAGGGGTTTAGAGCGATCGAGCTCTGACCTGAAACATGGTCAGAAGTAAATGTTCTTCTCGATTTTCATATTGGTTTCCGTAGAGAGTGAACATCACCGTCTGGAGTAAGGTGTCAATTTCGCCCATCGAGACCAAACGACATAACGCAGCAATGTGACGCGGTTCGCTCTGGAGTAAGAAGAATAGGTTGGCGTATTGCTGAATAAATCGTAATCCCGTCCAGTCGGGTTTGGGTATATCAGTATCGGATTTTGATTTAAAATCGAGAGTTTCAAGGAAAAATAATAATAATAAGACACCTGTGTCCTCTTTTCATCCAGGTAGAGTCCTTCTGATTCGTCTGCTTCCTCCAGATGTTCCCGTACTTCCTCTCGTTCGCCCAGGGCCATTCGCTAGACATCCATCAGACATCACCAGGTACATGTTCAAAAAAAAAAAAGGAAATTTGGATCGGATTGATGAGTGCATGTATATCTTGAGAGGGCAGGATGATGACTTGCGTTTTGAATCAACAGGGCGATCCGAGAGTCAAGATAACGAACATCCCGCTCGAGGACGAAATTCTTCTTGGATTGGGAGGAAATCTTAGTCTTTAAATCGCGTAAACGTTTCTGGGCTGATAGATCGGAAAGAAAGTGTAAGATAGAGGATGTGTGTGATGAGACGATGATCGAAATTCATCAGATCATCTGGTCTGGATTCATGACAATCGAATCGATCGAGATAAGAAAAGATATGGGAAAATATACCTCTGGCTAATTCATCTTCGATCTCCGTATCATTCTCAGCTGCCATAGAATACAGTTGGGTGACCGAGTATCGATTGGTGTTCCTGTTTTTTTATTTATTTTTTTTTGTGAGTATGAGTTACATAGATATCAGCTTGACTTGAAATGTGTGGCTGACCTTGAAGGGTCACGTAAATCGACAGAGGGATTGTTGCCACCCATCGCACTGAGAGGGGCGAGGGTGGCAATTGACCGTTTCCCGATGGTGGCGCCAATGCTATCTCTTCTGCTTGACATTTGTGGATTGAGTGTTTCAGAGGTTAATGTAGCTGACATCAACCACTGAGTTGATCTTGAGGGTTCGTTCTTGTCACTACTAGATTGATGATGGTGGTGGTTCTCAGTCGTTGTTTGGTTTTTGGTTTTTGGTTTTTGGTCGGTGGTGGTGGTGGTAGTGGTGGTGGTGGTGGTGGTGGTGTGGTTTTTGGTGGTTGGAGGTAGTTCGAAGGGATTTTGGGTGGGAGTGAAGTTGAGGGAGAAGAGGCTTGCAAGTCCGAGAGGGCCCAACTCCACCACCATCCCAAATTCCAATATTCCTTCAACTGATCGACACTTCTCAATCTCAAGCACTCTTCAACCGAGCCGAGCTCCAGTATGTACTTCATGTCCATGGAAAGCTTCACTTCCTCCGATTGCCAATGGCAAATGATAGACACGTCCAACTCCAAAGCTGCTACGTAAATTGTGGCGCATTCAAATTCACATTGATTTGTATGTAGATGTGAGTGTGAATCTAGAAAGAAAGAAGATGTGAATGAGTCTCATGATCTACAATATTGATGTTTCGGCCAATTCGACCCAGTTCCATCTCATAAACGGAGGATGCCATCATCATCAACTTCATAAATCATCTTTGTATGTACATACAAGAGATTAGGACTTCATCTTCTGATTCATCTGTAACGGCAAATCAACCACCACCATCATCAGGAGATTCAGATATCATCCATCTGATCTTCAGCTGGCAAAACCCTCAACATGTAATAATTAGGAAGGCAGTCTTCATTCTTGTTAAAACTGTCAGGCAAAATGAAAAGGAGTATACAAACTCAAACATGTTTTTCTTTCCTTTTTCTGAAAGATGATGATCTTGTACTTTCTCTTATCCTAGATTTATTATGCATATCATAGGATAGAGTCATCAGATGGAACCAACAAAATCCAAGAAAATTGGATCACTTTGGCAGAGCATCTTGTATGATACAGCATGCATTTATGTTGTTTTTGGATGACTATCTAGTAGTTGTCCCCTCATAATTGTACATGAGGAGTGATGTGTTTTGAGACTGATTTCAGGGATCATCAGGTGGATGTAATCTTCAAATCAGGGCCCCCAGGGGCCCCCCTCAGCTAGGGGCTAGCCAAGGAGACTGCAGTTTGTGTAGTCACATTTTTGTTTTCTCTTGGCCTGGGAAATCTTTTTCTTCAAAAATGTCAGGGGAGCTCAACTAGTTGTTAGAATAGTATAACTTATGATTTACAGTGCACAAGCCTACAAGGTATTGCAGGATGGATTGAAAGATGCTGGAAAAAAAACCCTTTGAATAGATCCTCTATATCAACCCATCAATTTTGTGATGACCCTCCTAACTCTAGAATTGGCCACCCAAAGATGTGGACATTTGTTTTTGATTAGGTCACAGTCTGGCTGTTGTGTGCTCCAAGATACATATATTCTCTGAACATTTGAAAATGGGACTGATGTGATCCCTTTGGAGGCAGATGCTTGGTGACCAAGACAAAATTTGTCAAGTTTGAAGAAGTGGATATGTAACATAGTGGGGTTTATGCATACTTTTAACCCTTCAGGTTGTTAAGGCTACATCTCATTCAAACCGCCATAGCAATAGGAGGGCGTACATGGAATAGCACAGTTCACAATTGGATTTATGCATGCTCACCTGTCTTGTAACTTGTACTGAGTGCTAAATTTTAGCTCAAACATCAACAGCATCAAAAGTAAGGCAAACCACTTCAGCAAGCACTCCAGGTTTCCAAAGGGTTTGCATGATCCAGGCAAGTAATCATAGAGCTCCATGAAGTGTTTCCTTACCCTCTCTTGATGGGAGGTGTAGATCAAGTACATTCTTCAACGGTGGGCTGCTACACTACGCTAAAGGGCCACTTAGCTTTAGTGTAGCAGCGCTAAAACGGACCCTTTTTCCTGTAGTGTTAGCGTGCTGCTACCGCCACTACGCTGTAGCGCCGCTAACAGGTGGCTTGTTTCTGGGTAGTGTTAGTGCACCGCTACAGGCGCTACGCTGTGTTACGCTGCGCTACAGCGCTTTTAGCGGCAAAAAAGGCAAAAAAACTGCTAAAGAGCGCTGTAGCGCAGCGTAGAGGGCACTTTTTTGTGCCCTGAGCGCGTAGCATTAGCACAATTCCAAATTTCTGCACTAACACACTCTTGTGCCCTTTGCGCGTAACGTTAGCGCAGAAAGGTGGATTTTCGCTAACGCGACACTACAAAGTAGCGTATTTTCACTGCGCTACGCCACACTAACGCTACGGTTAGCATAGCTGGTCCACCATTGCATTCTTTGTAAGAAATTTTTCCACTTCTGTTGGTTACTTAAGGGTATGCTGGTAGATCCTAATTGTGAACCCCACTAATATGTATGATGAAATAAACTTGAAAGCTGCAGTATTATCAAAAACAAATATTTAAAACCAAGAGGTTTATTATTCCTTTCAATTAGTGTGTGTCTCTGAATCAAAACAACACTTTTTTCCATACATACCACCGACAATGGGCCAGCTACGTTAACAGTAGCTTGAGCAAATTGTTGACATAGCAGAATTCCACTAACTTTTAGCCTAGCACAGCACATCTCTGCCATGACTGCGCTAACACCATTTTCCCAGGCCACAAAAAAGTGCCCACTACTGTGCATTATAGCAGTCTTTTGGCTCTTTTTGCTGCTAAAAGCACTGAAGTGCAGCTTACTGGGACTAACAGTGCACTGACACTCCAGGGTTGGCACACTGTTTTGAGGATTGCTACACTGACATTAGTGGGCTGTTGAGTGTAGTGTACTTGTAGTGTAGTGGTCCATTACTGATACCACCTTACAAGCTAACAAGTAATCAATAAATCTAGCCCAGGGGAGATGCTCTAGATTCTACCAACGGTGAAACATATACAATACAATACAGTATCTGCAGATACTTTTGTCTTGTATCTTTTTTCTGATACATCAAAAAATTTGTATTATGTATTGTATCAAAAAACCACTACCCATTTTTTGGCCAATTTGGACTGTTTCCAACAGAAATTTTGGAAGATACAAAAAGATACAGTATCCTATTTTCTTGTATCTAGCTGTATTTATGACCAGATACATGTATTGTATTGGTTTCATTGTTGATTCTACTAGTTATACCAAGCTGAATCAATTCCTCTTGTGATTTGGAACTCACATCTTTCAAGCCCTCCATTTTTTCCTCCTCAACTATCTCTTTGAGTATTTTATTTGATCTGTATTCCATCTTTATGATTTTTAAACTTCCTTATGGAGTTTTGAGTTTAAAAATATGAAGTAAGATTTGGCAAGGACCTTCCAGCTCACTTGAAATTTAAATTGATACCTCCCAGCCAAAATTGCAGCCTATGTCCTTAAGAAAAACTTGGTGTATGCAATTTTGAACACCATGATTCCCTCATTTCACCCAAAATCTAGGAGAATGACTTATGCCTTGTCTGCCAGCAATATAATGTGAGTGATATATGAAGATTTTTGCCTGAAATTCTATGTGAAATCTGATCAGGTCTGCCAAAAATTGGTCAGATGTCACAAAAAGGGCCCACTATGCTGTGCTACAGTACATTTTAGTGGTTTTTTGGCCATCTTTACTGCTCAAAGCGCTGTAGTGCAGCATAATACAGTGTAGTGGGACTAACAGCGCACCAACACTTCAGTGTTGAAGTGTTGTCTTGAGGGCTGCTATGCTAATGTTAGTGGGCCTTTTAGCATAGTGTAGCGTAGCAGCCCATCACAGTCTGTAAACCAAATTCAATCACGAGTTTCCGATTTGATTTGAATTTTGAATATCCATACTGTTAGATGTCAATTGATTCTTATGTTCATTTGAATTTGATCTAAAACTTTGAAACCAAATTTTACTGCATTGGTCCCAATGAATTCCTCCTTGACCTGTACGTTTAACCTGGACAAGAGAAATGCTTCCAGAAAGCAGTTGATTTTGCTACAAGCATACTACAAAGTCTTCTATTCAGAAATATTCACTCAAAAAATCGATCAATATTTCTTCAAGCAAGCTAAGGAGTGTACATTATAACAACAAAGAGAAAAAGAGGATTAAAGCTTCTTGGTGGCTTTTTTTTGAAGTTATTATTCACACAATTCCTGGGGGAAGTATGCGAAATTGTGTTTCACAGAAAAAATGGGATGTGGTGATTCATGAGATGTATACAGTACATTTAATTCTAATCATTAGGGCTAATAATACGACTGAATAATTTCCGGTTTTTCGTGAATTTCCAGGTTTTGGCTGGTGGAATGCAATGGAATGGAAGTCCCTATTTTCGAATCTGATCGTTTGGCTGTTAGTCTGTTGCAGTGTAGGTTTACGACCAACAGGTGACTTGAATGTTTTCAATGAAATTAACAAAAAAAACAGCATCAGCTGCTTTCCTCGATATGAATCTGATCCACTTGAAAATCATCAATGAGTGGTCTTACATGTTCAAAAAGACAGAGACCACTCCCTGTGATAGCTGTTTCAAAAAATGTGTTAGTAAAGGACCGTTATGAGCCCCAGTTCGGAATCTGTTATTGTGGTAGGAAAGAGAAAAGGATTCTCACTCACAAACGCGCTCACTACTCTATAATAAGCATACTCTCTCGAAAAAGCTTTGTGGCTATGATAAAGCTTCAGTTGATTGATTGGGGTTTTTCGTGATGAGCTGAACAGTACGACAAAATTTGATAAGAGCTGGATGCAATGTACTCACTTCCCAACACATTCCTGGCGCACAAGACGCCAATCCGAAGAATACTGAAAGTGATCTGTATAGGAGTGTTGCCCGCGCATCTTGAGTTGTTTCCATGAGCTCCGCTAATTCATCTGAGCTCTCGTTCCCCTCTTGTTGTAACTTTTGAGCCAAAAATTCCGCTTTGACTTTAAGATCACGCCAAGATACACATAACAGAGGCATAAAGACCTATGATATAGAATGCAAGTAAGACTTGATTGCTCATTAGGCAAAGGCGTTAATAAGGCGAAATAATAAGATGAGTTATACTTACGCTCAGAAGGAAAAGACTGGAAGTAAGGTAAGAAAGTATAACCATGTTTAGAGATTTAAGTGACTCTATCTGAATTTGCAAATGCCATCAGCCAAGATCGGTCGAGATTTATTGAATCTTTGTCATTGTTGCAACACATTTTTGAAGCACTCACCCTCAGCGAGTTAGCTTTCCGCATCGCCGCAAGGATATTCGAAACAAGGATTGCACGATCGGTTGACCCATCATAGCTGTCGGTGACTTGACTGAGGTTATTTTTCAGCTCAAAAATCGTTTCATTTTCTCTCGAACGGTTTGCGTGACATTGAAATGTTGCCAAAAGTACACAAACTGCGACATCCCTGATTAGCGAAAAGATGTTCCGATACGGAATGTGTTTTTGGATCGGTGTACTAACTTGTCATGGCTACTACCGGTAGAAGAAAAGAAGCGTGAAAAATCCATTTGAGAAAAACAGGTAGGGAAACCTTTTCCCTAGAATAGCGGGCATGATTTCTGCGATACCAAAAGATAGAGACACAGTGACAGACAGTCGCCCATACGAAGCCTGAATACAAACATCAGTTTTTGCTGGTTCCATGACGTGTTAAACACTCACACCTAGGGTTCATTGAGCAATTTGAAGCGGAATTATAATTAGTTCTTTGGGGAAGAATGCGGGATAAACGCTGAGTGGAGGACTTCCCGTCAACATCTGCGGGTCTCCCAGAGTCGGTTTAGAGCCTCGAAATTCAAATCTCCCTGCGAGAATTAAAAGTTTTCGGCTCTAGATCGACTTCTGCGAGGGTCCCAGATCCGACGGGAAGTCCTCCAGATACAGCTAGGCTTCACCAGAAGTGAAACGCTCAACATACCAAGTTCCCAGGATAACCGGCACAAATTTCACATAGGCAATCAGGTTGTGAGCAAATGAATATTCTATTTGGTGGTTCGAAAAGTTATATTGCTCCCAAATCCAATCAATTATCGATACTTCAGTGATAAAGAACGCATGCGCCATTTTTTTTCGACATCAGCCAACCGGAAGCAGGTCAGTCAAATTAAAAAACTCTTTTCACCTTTATAAATTCAGAAAGAGGAAAAAACATGACATTCAAATTCAAAACTCACATATGGAGAACAGTAGGGCAGTGATCGTATTGCAGTTAATCGTTTCGAAATTCCACATGCCCACTAGGATATCATCGAACCATGTTAGGACTTGAGCGCTAACTGAAAGCAAAAATAAACTAGCTGATTCTTACGTGAAGTTTTTTTGCCCAAGGTAAAACCCCCCAAGGCAATCATCACGTACAAGTTGTAAACAGTTTGCAAAGATAGACTGGTTCAGATTTTCCACAAGTGTAAAAAGAGATTCAGCGAGTCATACTTGCTCCGAATTGAAAAAGTTGAACTTTTCATTACATGATGAGTGAAATTAGCATCACTTTGGAAGTGACATTTGCCCAAGACGGAATATCGGTCGCCTGGGCCAAATGTAAACAGAGTCAGAATGGTAGCAACAACGCCTGAAGAGCTTTCGACTGCACAGACCTTTAGCCCAGAGGTATACTCCCTCAAAAGGAGATAGGGATTCTGTTCACTTGGAATTTCATTCGCGAATTCGGCCAGCACTCTATCCATATTCCAGGGATCTTCCATTCAGTCGATGGTATTTACGGTAGTCGATCAGTGATGATCCAGGCGGCGGGCAAAGGTGATTGCCTGTTGCTACTTACACGCACGACAAAAGATGTCTACTCCAATCCAGCGGAAGAGTCTGATTGTTTTCATTATAAAAACTTGAATACATAAATATGTATACAGACGCCCCTCTTCATTGTGACCATTCGAATGCTGACCTACATCTGTAACGATGTGGTTATGAATATATACAGCGAGCAGATAAATGTTTTTGGCGTTATATATCCAAAGCTGGGGGCCACATCAAAAACGGCTCTCTACATAAAGATGTACATACCCACTGTTCATAGCTGTCCATGCATAGGTTCTGCCTGGTTCTGCATCTTTCTTGTCGTTCAATTACAAATGTACAGCTGAGCTGAGGCCGACACATCATCCACCGGACCACCAACACGGGTAACCACCAAGATCATCTGCTCCAACCTTTTTCCACCACCAGGCATTATGTATCAATTGTGTATATGTGTTCGAGCAATTTGAGCTGCTCCGGGCTAAACAACCAACGTCGGCTCTTAGACCCACGGCGCGGTCAACTGGTCGCGGGTGTGTCGCTAGTCGTACAGTTGGGTTGACAATGCGGTCGGTCCATCGCCATGCTGACAGTGGTCTTGACCTATCTGTCATCCCGCCGGGATTCATGTGCTCATTGGTTATCCCGGTACCTGTCAGTGTCGGGCCCCGTTGACCGTCCCGTCATATCGCCGGATGTCATGCCGCCGACGCTGACTTACATACACGTCAGATTGCCGCGTGTCATGCCGCCGGTCTTGACTCACCCGTCAGGTGGGGTATTTCTCTTTGCATTTGGTGATTTTGACTTTAAGTTTCAGCTTCACAAGTAATAGTGAGATGAAAAGCAATATGAAGCCCCCAGAGGACAGTAGAGGACCCTAGCGCTGGACCCCGTACCCGGATTGGCGGGGTATACCCTCGGGAACTAACCCGCGGGACGGTCTCCGGGCGGCCTCGTCAGGCTGCTGTGGACCGACGGGTACGGCGGGTACGGGACACGGGCGAGGCCAACAATACCCGCGGGTATCGCGGGTATTCGACCTTTGCAAGGGGTGAGCAGCTGCCAGCCCAAGAAGGATGTGCAACAAAGGCGGCTGCATGAGTGAGCAGGCGGCCGGCTGCAATTATGATGGAGCAGGCGGCTGGCTGCGTTTATTTCGGAGCAGGCAGCTGCCGGGTACAGGTATAGCCTATACCTGTGCCTCGGGGCGCACCACACTCGGGTATATTCCCGGGCTGACAGGGAATACCCGCGTCCTGAACCACCCCGCGGGGCATACAGAATCCCCGCTGCCAGTACCCGATACCCTAGGGTATGTTGCGGGCCCTGATTTTGTACCCGCTGGTCGGGTATGTATACCCTCAGGTCGGGGCGCCGGGCAACTTGAAAAACGCCGGGTACCCCGCGGGGTCCAGCGCTAGAGGACCCCCATCTCTGACTGAACAATTTCTTTGCCATGTGAGATGTGAATGATCAAGTCTGAGGGAAAATGATGGAAGCAATAGGACGGTTCATGTGTTGAGTTTTCCTCTTCTCTGGTCTACTCTTCCCCAAAATCACTCCTTTTTCTTTTTCAAGTCATCATAAATGAGACTAGATTATATTTGTTAAGTAGCTTGTTTTTGGTTATTCTAAGCCCCCTTCTGAGTCAAATATGAACCTTAAGTAAATCAGCTTTTTCTAACTACTCATGTCTCTACAATGAATTCTTCTTTTTTCTGACTTTATGATTGATTTATCAAAGACTGATTATTTAGAATTAACGACTCTAAATATCTGTGGTTTATAGCATGTTTTGCTTGATTAACTCATCCGGCTTGACTAAAAGAGACTGAGAAGTTTTGTACGGTTTTTTTCTTCCAAGACTCATGTTTCTTCCTCTCAGTTTTTATTCAAAAAACATTCTTTATTCATTTTTCTTTCAACCACTTTTTGACCACTTGTACCTAGTCTATTTAATCCTAGCTAGTTGCAAGTGAATGAAAATCATCGGTTCTTACACTCTTTTTCCGTGAACCTTTCCCAAAAATAAGATCCTCAATTTTTGGCCCTCCGCCTCTTACATGCCTGAGTCTTAATATTTCAACATCATGTCTGAGCTTTGAGGCAAATTTAATGACATTTATCATTAAAATGTTACAAATTTGTCATAAATCTCAAATTCATCCAAACCTGATAAATCATGAGATTTGACAAAATTCATAAAAGTTTATCTACAAATGTGCTAAAAATTGCCTTGAACTTCAGACATGAACTGATGACGGTTGATAGAGATGGTTGCTGTGCATCCAGATATCCCCTTGCTTTTTTAGTGGAATTGGACACCTGCATCCATACCCCCTCACCCTGGGGGGTATCCGCAACAGATACCCCGTGACCATCTCTAACATTGGTTGTTTTGAACCATAAAAGTCATCATCAAATTCTATTCATTCAATCAGCGCAAACAGCGCGCTAACACTACAGATTTGGTGCGCTGTTTTGAGAGGCACTACACTAATGTTAGTGGGCTGTTTAGTGCAGCGGCCCAGTGTTGCCAGAATGTACAGTCTCCTCCCAGATGTTTACAGCCATCTGTTTTGAGCTCCACAGAGGGAACCCAAAAACTTCAAGTCACACAAGTTTGTGGAATGGTGGAAAATGGGTTTCAAAGAATGAATATGAAAAAATAATAATCAAAAATAAGATTTTAAAATGGGCCTTAATAAAAAAACCCGCATTTTCCGCGTTTTGACGCGGTTTCTGCTGCGCGCAGCACACGCGCATTCCGCTTTTAAACCCGCTTTTTTAATTAATTTTTTACCGCTTATTTTTTGAGTTTTTTTGAATTTTTAAAATTGTTTCCTGGGTTTCAAAGCGCATAGAATTTAATGGTAAAAACCATTTTCAATAAAAATGAATTTTGATTATTAATTATTTTTTTTCACTCATTTCTCAATTAATTGTTTGCAAACATGTTTGTACCTTATTTTTTAGCCTTTTTTGAAATTTTAAAATTATTTCCTAGGTTTTAATGTGCGTAGAATTTAATGGTGCAATCCAATTTTTTTAAAACTCTACGGTTCATTTTTAATACTGAAATTAGCCCCATTTTTTGACTTAATTTTTTACAGCTTAATTTTCATTAATTTTTGATGTTTCAAATTTTCTTCCTACACTTTAAGACATTTAAAAAATTATGGTAACAACCATTTTTCCCCAAATTGAAAACTATACCTTGAATGCTGCATTTGACACCGTTTTTTTAATTAATTCATCACTTTTTCACTTAATTGTTTGCATACATGTGTGTACCTTATTTTTTATGCTTTTTTGAAGTTTTAAAGTTGCTTCCTACATTTGAAAGTTTCTAGAATTTAATGGTAACATCCAATTTTCTAAAAATCAACTGTTCACTTTGAATACTGAAATTAGACACTTTTTTCACTTAAATTTTTACAGCTTAATTTTCATTCTTTTTTGACTTTTTAAATTTGTTTCCCACACTTTTAGACATGATTAAAATGATGGTAACAACCATTTTGCATAAAAACCAAAGAATGTTATTGAATACTGCGTTGGACATGTTTTTTTTAATGTTTTGTTAATTGCTTGTTACCGGCTGGTTTTTAATCATTTTTTGAAATTTACATTCATTTCCTCCATTTAAAAATGTGTAAAATTGAATGGTGAAGTCCAATTTCCCTACAAATACAAGCTTCAATCTTAATACATGAGTGTACCCCGTTTCTTGCACAATTTGTAACGTATACAAATTTTATTTGAATGAAAAATGGATACAGCCAACAATTTTGAAACCTTTAAGGGCCTGTACCATAGATACCAATTTTTCATAATCCAGGCGGGAATCCATTTTTCCATCATAAAATGAAACTGTGTACCACACGTAACCCAATTTCCAACAAATACAAACACGTGAATTATTGGTTTTGATGAAAAAAAATGAAACTGGGAAATCAAAATTTGATTTTTTGAAAATCAGGGTCTATGGTACAGGCCCTAAAAGTGTAGGAAATGAGCTTGAAATTCCAAAAAATAAGGATAAATGAGCGTGTAAGAATTAATTCAGGAAACACATCAAAGGCATTATTCAAGATATAGTTTTCATTTTGATGAAAATTCATTTTTACCATAATTTTATACATGTTTGAAAGTGTAGTAAACAAATTTAAAATGTCAAAAAATAATGAAAATTAAGCTCTTAAAAATCAATTGAAAAATATGACTAATTACAGTATCCAGAATGAACCGTTGAGTTTTATGGGAATTGAATGTTACCATTAAATTTTACACACATTTAAATGTGGGAAAAAACCTTAAAATTTCAAAAAAGCATAAAATATAAGGTAAAAAAACTAACACAAACAATTGAGTGAAAACGTGAATAATTCAATTAAAAAACGGTGTCAAATGCAGTATTCAAGATGTATTTTTCGTTTTGGGGAAAAAATTTTGATACCATCATTTTCTACATGCCTTAAAGTGTTGGAAATAAATTTAAAATGTCAAAAAATGATGAGAATTAAGCTGTAAAAAATTAAGTCAAAAAATGGGGCTAATTTCAGTATTAAAAATGAACCGTAGAGTTTTAAAAAAATTGGATTGCACCATTAAATTCTACGCACATTAAAACCTAGGAAATAATTTTAAAATTTCAAAAAAGGCTAAAAAATAAGGTACAAACATGTTTGCAAACATTTAATTGAGAAATGAGTGAAAAAAAATAATTAATAATCAAAATTCATTTTTATTGAAAATGGTTTTTACCATTAAATTCTATGCGCTTTGAAACCTAGGAAACAATTTTAAAAATTCAAAAAAACTCAAAAAATAAGCGGTAAAAAATTAATTGAAAAAGCGGGTTTAAAAGCGGAATGCGCGTGTGCTGCGCGCAGCAGAAACCGCGTCAAAACGCGGAAAATGCGGGTTTTTTTATTAAGGCCCTTTAAAATTTGTGAAAAAGATAAAAGAAAATCAACTTTTTTTGAAAACTTTAATTTTTTGTTTGAGTGAAAAGTGAACACACAGAGGGCAAGTTTGGAACATGAAAAGAATGATTATAAATGAAAAATATTGATCCAAAAAAAGTTTCAGCATGGTGGGTGGACACCCTGCCGTCAAAATCAGTAGATTGCAGTACCAGAATGCCACATTTCTTGATGAATGACCCCCTAGGCACCCTTTTTAAACCACCAAGTAGTCATTTTTTTCCAAATTTTCACTTTTTATCATTCATTCCAGATCTCATACTATCACTTTGGACATTTCATCTTTTCCTGAAAGAAAAATTGAGGCTGTCAGTTTTTGTGATTTTCTCCTTTTTACTTTTTACAAATTTTAAAATCTTATTTTTTGTTATTATTTTTTCATATTCATTCTTTGAGACCCGTTTTCCACCATTCCACAAATTCTTGTGACTTGAAATGTTTGGGTTCCCGGTGTGGAGCTCAAAACAGATGGCTATAAACATCTGGGAGGAGACTGTACATACATACAACACTAGTGTCTGCGTAAATGACCTTTGTACCTACCTCTTTTAAACTTTAGAAGTGTAGCAAGGAATGCATTTGAGCACACTTCTGTAGTGCAAAAGTGGTAGTTTGGGATCCAATCCCGCAATCCCACAATCCTCCAGGCTCTCTCTTCAGTACAAAGGAGACTTGTCAACAATACCAGTGCTAACCCCCTATCCCTATCCCTATCCCTAATTCCTAATTCCTAACCCTATCCCTAACAACTAAGGCTTATTAAAATGATTGAGAAGGGAGGGATGTTTGTTTTTTTGGAGTTGAAATTTGATGGGTGTGACTTGAGATGTTGTTTGAGGGGAGGGGGATTGGGGGATTCACAGATTTTTTACTGTAGCAGTGCATTCACACCCGTTTCTGACTGCACTTCTACAGTGTAAGGGGTGTAGGTTGGCAGGTCGCGTAAATGAAGCTCTTGGATATTTTAAATATAAGTAAGCAAGCATTGACAGAAGAAGGTCGAGGCAGGATGGGGTGATCATCAATTTTTAAATTGGCATGTAGGAGTTTGTATGTTACTGTATATGAGCAAGCCAAAACACAAATGAATTCAAGTTCTGGGTAACACATTGGCACCCTCAGCGGCGGGTGCCACTCTGCCAGCAGCATCTGTAAACGAGAGCGTAGACTGAGATGAGCTAAGCCTATTAATTTGTCTGGCAAGGCTTTTTAAGCTTTCATGCCTCCTCTCAGTCTGAACTCACTCCATTAATCCAACATGAGTCCCAATCCATGGTAGAAATTGCTTGGCTTGTCAAGATGGCTTGCCAAAGAGCTCCAACCAACTTGGCTGAGGATGAAGATGGGATGGTGATGAACACCTTAATCTAAATTCCAATCATCAGGTTCATTTCTTTTTATTTCTTTTTATTAGTGTGTCACCATCCCCCCCAACTAACTTGAGGAGATTCAGATATTCTCTCATTTTCTTACTGTGTATTCCTTGTTGGAATTTTGATACTGCTTTTACTCATCCCAAAAGTCCCATTCTTATTTAATGGGTACCCTATTTAATATTCTCTCCTGAAATTTTTCTTTCATTATAGCCGGTCCCTATTGTATGTTATGCATGTCTGACCCAGCTTCTTGTAGTCAAAAGAACCCTGAAGAATAGGACTTATCAGCTCTCTAGCTAAACGTTTCTTCCTGTGCAAAATACTTTCTTGTTGATGCATATCATTTTGAATTGGTTTTTTTATTCCAACCAAAGTTTGTCCCTTGTATCTAATCTATTTATACCAGCTAGGTACAAGCAATCAAAAACTGCTGGTTCTTCCTTCACTTTTTGAACCCCGTGCCATTCCAGTGCATTGAGATTCTCTTCAACACTGTATCTCTTCATCCCATTAAAAAATCCTCACCTCAATAGGCCATTAATTCATCATTCCTATTACTAGATAAAAGGAATACACAGTGAGATTCAGATAAAACCAATGTGATGTAGCAAGATTCAAATCAATCAACTGTCCCTTTTGTTGAAGTGTCAAACTCAGGTACTTCTTGTTACACATTGCTAACACATCCATGTGAGACTTTTAATCCGCATTGGAGAGCATTTTTCATGATCCACATCATCATCACATTTTCACAAGCATACATCACCAATATATTCAACATTGGCAATTCATACTTAGCTCAATGGTCATAGAACCACTCAGGAATGCTGAGGTTCTGGGTTTGAGTCCCACATAGAGATGGTCGCTTTGCATCCGGATATCCGCGCGGATGCAGATATCCGCTCACTATTTCAGCGGAATCAGGCATTTGCATCCGCTGGCGGGTATCCGCGGATACCTGCCCTTTTACTGGTCAATGATTGCCGGCTAGCAGAGTTGGATTTTTTCTTTTTTTCAAAAAAAAAAAAAAAAAACTGGCTCCTCTTGGCCTAGAGAGGCAGAGGCCACACTGTTGGGAGGAACCCCTCCCAGAGAGCTTCTACATGCCAGCTCGCCAAGAGGGGTTCCTCCCAACAAGCTGGTTTTTTGAATAAATTATGGCCAAAGAAGGGGAAATGTTTAAGGAGAAATTTTTGGCAACAAAATTGATTTTTTGTTGGAACAGCTCAAAGGGTCGAAACATGAAGGAGAGAACCAATGATGTTTTACTTAGAAAGACATTTTTATTTTTTTGGCTAAAATAGCTCATAATTTTAGCCTAATTTTTTTACTCCTGAGGCATCTTGTGAAAAAAGTGCCAGAAAATCGATCTATTTTCCATCATCCAAATTGCCATTTTTCCTTGGGGCAAAATCAGTATTGTTTATAGTGATATATGACTTAACTGACTTGAGCTAAAAATTTGTTTTGGAATGTTTGATGAATTTCTATCTCTGGGCTAAAATAGCTCAGTTTAGCCTAATTTCTACTCCTGAGGCATTCTGGAAAAAAGTGCCAGAAAATTGATCCATTTTCCCCCACCCAAATTGTCATTTATTTTTGGGGCAAAATGGGTATTGCTTGTAAGTTGTAGTGTATTGAAGCATCAATCTAACCTAGGTTTTTTGTTTTTCATTTCCAATAACCAAACCGCAAAAACAAAAATGAATGATGTATTTATCAGATCTCCAGAAACCCTTTGATGTAACAAAAGAATCATTTGCAGCCACAAATAACACCATACTTGACTTTTTTGTGTGCATGCAGTCATGTTTTGCCAGAAAAAAGAGCAAAACCTAAAGAAAATAAAGATATGAAACATGATATATAAACAATCAGAAACAATCAGAGTAAGGAGTGTGTGAATGATGCAAATTTACAGAAAAAAAAGGGGAAAAAATGATGTTGTATAAGGTATGATTGATTAGGAAGATCATGATGTAGACATTAAATGTATGTATATGACTAAAACAGACAAACTGGAATGATATCTGAGATCTATATACGTTTTTTTTTTGGTTAATGATGTGTATTCGAGTGAAGGGAAAAAAGCAGTAGACAAAGTAAAAAAAAATACAAAAAGAGAAACAAATCTAATGTGGAGGGTGAGGGCGAAGGAGACAGAGGTAGACGGGATCAAGAAGTAGTAGAAGGAGCAGATCCCAGGAAATGATCCGGGGAACGCAAATCAGTGGATCCGACGGAAAGACAGGTATCGAGAGAGGAAGAAAGGTCAGCCTCGAACTGAGCGAGCCAAGCCTGAACATCCATAGCATGTTCGAGGTCGACTTGAGCTTGCGAAGTTTGGGCCGAGATTTTCTCGAAACAAGATCTGAATTTTTCACGAAGGTCGAACCCAGTGAGACGGACGACTTTCCGGGTCTCCTTAGCCATTCGATCTAACTCGTAATCCATCCAACGTATCTCTCGCAACTCGGGATGTTCATCCGAAACCCCTGCTACCTCTCCCTTTCTTACCCCGCGTTGGATGCTTGAGGTGCTCGATGAATGAATCATCTCGTTTAATTCACGTTCCAATTTCTTCCCAATGTTTCGTGGGATCGCTCGAGGGATATCCATAATTAGATAAACCCCAAACCCAACAGCTAAAAGATGCAAAGGCCAATGAACAAATCAGCCTCCTGCAAGCTTTCTCACAATTTAAGGAGCACGGGACTTACAAATGACAGCAACGATGGTCCCGGTCCATTTTCTGAACCCTTTAGTCCCAGCCAATTCAGAGAGTTTGACGAGCGCATCGACGAAGACTCTTCCACTGGACACACCGGTTCCAAAGAGAGTCAACGTGCCTAAGCCGAGGGAGCCGACGAGACCGGTAGCAGTTCCACTGCTACTGTTGAGATACTTTTCGATGGATTTGGAAGAGGATGAAGACTTGAACCAGTTGAGTCTATCGAAGTCTACTAAATCAGCCACAGTGGCAATCCCTAAGGTACTGGCACAATGTCCGTATGGGCCCCGTTGGGTAGGACTTGTAGTCAGTGGGAACTTTCTCGTCTTTGAAAACATCGCTTGAGGGTTGAATTTGCGCTCGGCTGTGCGTTCATTTTGCTCGTCATCTTCCAACAGGTTCTTGGTCACTGAATTTTCTTGAATGGCTTCCACTGCATTAGAGGTCGACTTTCGGGCGACGTTTTCGGCGAGCTTAACACTCTCCTCTAATGAGCTTATCAGCACTTTTCGCACCTCCTCTGCGTAGTGAAAGATGGACAGCAGACCATCATAGACTGGAAAGTACGGCTCTGGTGAGTTGGGCTGAGTCGGTACGTGCTGAGCAGGTTTGCCTTCGCGGATATTCCTTAGGGCACTAGCAAGAATTTTTCGACTGTTTTTGTAAACAAGTGAAACGGTGTTCTCCTCGATCTGGCCAATAGTCTCGTCTACTAGATGAGAATTTGCAGACAATTTATTGAAACGAGGTAAGACCTTTTCAAGCTTCGCCTGAGCTTCCTCGTAAAAGTTCTTGGCAGCTTCCATGTTAGTTGCGGTTACCATCTGGAGGTCTTGCAGGAGGTTGCGAGTATAAGTCTGCGCAGGTTGAAGCTTAGAGATTGAGCGACGAAGGAAGACGAATGAGGAGAGCGAGCGTTGCAAGTGATCAAACGGCTCGATTTCAGCTGTAATTCCTTGTTCACCGGATGGCGCCTTTGATTGGGTATTCAAGATGGCATCTTGGGAGTCGACGAAATGGACCAGTTCAGTTCGTTCCTGCCAAGTAGCCGGACTGAGTTTACGAAGTTGTTCCCTGATCCTTCGTTCAGCTTTGACCTTGTCTCGGATCCCTCCCCACTTGTTGACAACGACGAAGACGTAGGCCTTCTCTTGGCTGGCCGCCCATAAGAACTCTTGAGCTGAGAGTGTGAACTGATTCTCGGCACTGACAACGAAGACCACAACATCAATGGTGGACTGCTTGGAAAACAACTCCATTGTGGAGAGTGTATCGCGATTCAAACCGGGGGAATCAATAAAGGAGACTGATACATCCCCCTGTCGTAACAAAGATACCGCATTGGTGGCATTCAAGCCTTCCTCTGATTGAGCTTTACGGGTGTCGGGGCCAGAGATGTAAACCTGAATGAGTTAGGAGAATCAAATTAGTTCGAGTTCGGAATGGAGGAGAAAGCGTACACGAACTTTGAGGAGCTGATAGGGACTCGAACGGTTCTCGTCTTCACCGCTGTCCTCACTATCCTCATTTCCAACGTTGACAAGCTCTTGGAGTTTGTCGATGGGGAAGATCACATAGGTCTTTGGGTTTTCGATGTCATAAACCGAGCCATGAGGAATAGCATGGATCTGTTCAAGTGGAGAGTTGATGTGCGACTTGTCAAGGATCTCGCACATGACCTCGGTGCAAGGTTGCTGGTCAGTCGGCGCAACCTCACGGGCCAGGAGTGCGTTGACGAAGGTGGATTTTCCAGCGTTCAGGTCACCGGTGACAAGAATCCGAGAGTTACGGTCAAGGACTCTGGTTCGCAGGTCGGCCAGATGGGTTTGGACTGATTGAAGACGGGAACAGAGCATGGATGATGCCAATGACTGATGGTTGGTCAAGAGGGACGAATCGATATCCTTGAACCCCCCAGGACCGCCACCTGAGGTTCGGCGGTGGGGGACGGAGAGGTTGTCGAGACAGAGGATGTTGAGAGCATTGGCAGTTGATTGTGGAGAGTTCTGTTCGATGCCGTTGGTCGGTTGGTTAAGGAGTTGAGGGTGGACCAATGACCAGTGAGCTTGAGCGAATTGATTTAATCTATCGATCAGTTGGTCAGATTGCTCGATGACAGTGATAAGCGTATCACGATCCTTGAGGAAGTTCTTGGTCTCGGCTAAGACTCTGAGTTTTTCTGCTTCGGACTCGGAGGTGATTGACGAGACCGACAGAGTCTTCCCCCTGTGTGAATGGCTGATGGTAGTACCCTCACCTGGCTGCTGATGAGCAGACGTGGTGGTGGTCGATGGTTTCTGCTGGTGGAGTAGTGTGTTCATGTTGGTTGTTGATGGGTTTTTCCTTGTTGACCGTCCCAAGCGACAGCTGTCCGCTTTATCAGTAGGGCAGTAATAGTTAAATCTGGGGGACGAAACCTGTTTTAGCCATGCCCTTTTCCTACAATATGGAGTAAACCCGCCGAGATGGGCGAAACCGGGCTGATCCTTGACACTTCCTTATCTGGCCCAGACGCAGTAAACTTGACCTCCCTTGTTTCAGAGCACACTGCCTCGGGATCACATCACCACTAGCATAGCCTCAGTGATCATCGTTCGATCGAGCAAAAGTCATTCACCATTGTCCGGATATACACATTTACATTCCCGGAGACTCCGAAATTATCAACTCAAATCAAAGAGTATACATAAATGCAATGGACGGAGTAGTCATCATCGCTCGTTTGACAACCCCTTTCGGACGGAGAGGACCCCATGTGGCTGCCAGCGCCAATTTTACCCAGCGGGCCTCCCGTGAGGGAGGGACTTTGGTCAGGTTGAGACTCATCGTTGCTCTGGAAGCAGGCGTAACACACCCAAGGAATCTCCCAGAGTGCGATACCAGTGGTTGTCTTAAAGAGCTATCTATCATCTACGGCCTTCATTACAAGAAGCAGTATGTATGCTGGAATGGCAATTTATCCCAGACATCACATAAACAATCTGCAAAGATAGTCGAAACAGACAGTTAGATTAAACAGCAAAAAAATGGCACCAAGCTGGTAAGCACGGTCCGGAAAGATACATCAGCAAGCTTGTACCATGTTTCTATTTGGTTAATTTGCCTTTATCCTCTATGTCCGCACTATTCTTAACTTCCTATAATAATCTTCTTAAGGAACATGAACCCATTATTATGTGTGTGGGCTTTTCTCAACAGACTCAAAACCTGATGTGGAATTCAACATTTTCTTTAACACTGGTGATATTGATGGTCCCAAATTTGACTTTTCTAAGTAATTCAACTCTTCAAATCTTGGGGTCATACACTTTTTTTAGAAGTACTTTCAACTTGTAACTCTAGTTCTGCCTGTAAGTTAGTTTTGTCTGTAATTTTAGAAGCAAAGCTTGTCTTGAACTGGTCCAAGATGGATAATTAAGGTACTTTTTGCAACAGTGGGCCAGTTACACTAACCGTAGTGTTAGCTTTTTAAGCTACGCTACACAAAAGTTACCGTTAGCGGGAATTTTTGGCCCACTAACACTACAGGATTTTTGAAAAACAAAAAAGCAACTTTAGCGCAGTGTTAGCTACCTTCAAAAAGGCACAACTAACACTAACCAAAATCCTGTTAGTGAAATTTTAGCAGTGTTAGTGGGTGAACCCACTACACTACATGTTAGTGTAACTTTTTGCAAAGTTACACTAACAGTTAGTGTAGTGACCCTCAGTTACACTAACTGTTAGCGTAACTGGTGAAAAAGTTACACTAACTGTTAGCGTAACTGGTGAAAAAGTTACACTAACTGTTAGTGTAACTGATTAAAAGTTACACTAACTGTTAGTGTAACTGACTATGTAGTTACATGACCACATGACTAGCGCTAGTCTACCTTGAAGACAGTGCCTGATTGGGGGGCCTACATCCAGATCCCCTCAATTGATCATCATTTTTTTTCAGTTGGTACTGGGGGCCACTCAATTTTAGCCCCCTGCCATTGTTTAATTTACTGGGTTCCATTCCCACACTTACTTGTGTTCAATTTCCACTTTGACATCATGCAGCAAGGGGTGTGTGTGTGTGTGTGTTGAGGTGTATGATAGTCTGCTGCCATTATGTATCACCAGAGTGTGATGGAGCTGTGGGCATGGGCCATGACAACTACCACCCAACTGACCTGGCAAACACAAGCATCTGTAGCCTAGTTGGTAAAGGAAGCACTCTTGTATGTGACTCAGCATTGCTGAGGTTGTGAGTTCAAATCTCACCAGGCACATCCTAAGTTTGTTTTTCTCCACATCTTGTGCTGTTCATATTCTGCGGGATTGTGTGCAATCACGGGACATTGAAAATCGTCACCGTGGACCTCGGCCGTATCAGTCATATGAACATTTCACATAAGTTGTGCAAAAATCCAGCTTGACACATCAATTTCTTTAATTGATGAGTTACAAGTTACACTACACTACATGTGTAGCGTAACTAGGCATGTAGTGTAGCGTAGTGTAGCTTAATTTGGTATAAGTTACGCTAAATGTTAGCGTCAACTCAGTTATGCTACTGGTTAGTGGAAGTTTTTTTAGCTTGGAAAAAGTTACGCTACTTGTTAGTTTAGTGGCAATTATTTCAAGCTAACACTAAAAAAAATTTGAGGGAAAAATTTCACGCTACGCTGGCAGTTAGCTCAGCGGTGTGTAGCGTTAACTAACACTACAGGATTTCCAGCAAAAAAAAAGCAACTACGCTAACATGTAGTGGTCAAATAGCGTAGTGTAGCGTAGCGGCCCACCGTTGCTTTTTGGTATAATTGTAATCATGTGGTTAATGGCAGGAGGGTATCTCTCAAATTTGATGATCTGAAGGTAGATATTGTGACATGACAAAATATGGTTAATCATGGTCCAAGTACTAGAGAAAATAAATTCAATTTGATTGAGTCAAATTCTTAATCTCACATATGACTCTGAACTGTATAGACTCTCCCATAGAAAACATCAATCTAAAATCCCAACCAGGTTGTTTTTAGTCACAACTTGCATGTCAAGCCTATTTCCTCAGTAAAATAACCTGACAGAATTATGATTGTATAAATTAAAAGATAGTGCAATCAAATCAAACAGAAAAGAAAAAAATGTTCTGCAGATCTCAATTTGTAATTTTCACTCATCTGTCCATTGTACTGCTAATTTGAAGCTGTTACAACTCTTGCTTTCTTCAGATATACACCCCATTGCATGAGGTTTTCTCATGATTCATGCTCTGCTACCTCTTCTAACTTAGCCTGTGAGGCAAGAGAGTTAGGGGAAGTTATCTGTCTTTTACATTCCCTTCCCCCGGCTAGATAAAGAGAGTGAGATTGTGCAATGCCAGTTGTAGCTATGGCACGACGTGGTATCAGGCACAAATTCACCCTTCTGCTGCTGAACGCCTGTCTCATTATATTTGGTGGAAGATAAATACATGAGGATGTTGATTGGTAATCAGGAATGGAGAACCGTTGCGTAGGAGTGAGAATAGATGATGTGGGTGATATCAAAGGTTGCTCAAAAATCTAGGCGGGAAATTCAGAGCGGTCATATCGTTTCAGAGCTGGCAGAAGGATAGTAGAGTCTAGTACTACAAAGTGATTGTTGTTCTAGGCGGAAATGTTCACCAGTTTTGATCGTTGTGTCGCTTGCACAATTGGCTATGTATAAATTATAACAAAAAGTCATGAAACTAAAGGCTAATATTCCATTCAATAATGCTCAAATGGTAGGAGGCAGGCTTTCTTTTCCTTTGTTCACAGTTTCTCCATGATGTTCCTTCCTTGAAGGAAAAAGCGCGAAGCACACATGAGCAACCAAAATCCACAAGGATGCCGTGGGGTCAGTTGGGGCTGACCAGAGGTATTCTTCTTCTATGAAGTACCTTATGATTTCCTTCAAGAACCACTTTAGTCTGGGTTCCTATGCCGATGGAAATGAGATTGAGGTTTGCAATTTTGTTTCGTCACTCTATCACTACACCAAATTCCTGGAACCTGCATTTAACTTCGTCGCTTTTTTATGGAATATAGCACTTCTGGATCGCTTTTCGCCTTTCTCTGCTCACGACTGTCCAAATACCCAATCAAAACGAAACCCGACTCTAAACGCCCACCACAATTCATTGGCTCATATCAGTAGCTTCATATATTGAAGATCAGAATGTACTTTACAATAGCTTACATTTGATTGGGTTGTGTAATCTTTGCACGGTTGATTGAAGCGACACAAGTCCAGTAGCTGGGGCTCAGCCAGACTGAGCATCCGATTACGTGATTGAAAGAAAGATTGGTGTACAGGGCCACCCCTTTTTCTTTTTTCTGTTCTTTTTCGAACTCAATTTCTCAATAGCTTGACCCTATCCATCCCACTCAGTGCGAAATGGACGGGCGTAATTTTTCTTCTCACATTCTGTAAGTTGATTTGTGCAGAAAACAAATACAGCCTTTCTTTGAAACTGCTCGAACTAAAGAAACAGAACACGGGAGGATGATCGAGGGCCTATCAAGTCAATGAAGATTGCGACCTCTGGCTTCCTAATCTCCCAGGCCCCAGGTCTCAGTTTCCTATCTTCTTCTATGGAGTCTACCTAAACAGGGGTTGAAAATGATTATTGATCTTCAAACTGCGTTGTATGTGTGCGCACATTTTCCACCTATAATATATGTCAGGGTGACAGGAAAATTGTCTCCTTCTCTAGTGCTTGGAGAAGCGTGTTCTACAGGGCAAAGTTGTGAAACCAGAGACTAGAATCGGTTGGGAAATGATTGCTTAAGCCTAGACTGAGGAGATAGATGCTGGTAGAATGATTTGTGCATTTCATACAACATCTTGCAATCAGCTATGTAGTTACAACCCTTCCAACTTGGTACAAAGGAAATCGACTTGTGCCCAAAGAAAGAATGTGAAACCCTTGGCCTAAGCAGCACCAATCTTGCGGCTGTGTGAATTTGACAAAGAGAAAACTGTGCCCTTGATCTTTGATTAGTTTTCCTCGATTGCTTCAATGCTCACAAAGATAGAGCTACAGCCAGGCAAATCGCGTGCTGAGAGCCCAACAATCAATGGCCACTGGTTTCAATTACGGTGGGCCAATGGGCAAGAAGGCTCTGTACATAGATATGCTCTATGAGTACGTATTGAAAGGGCGATTATTTCTGCAATGGCCACTTTCGAGTAAAAAAAAACGGCCTAGTGAAAGAAAATGTTAAGCAGCTCGGCGGAACATTCTACACAAAGGAAATAGGGTCAAGGAGACTAAAAAACAATCTCACCTTTGTTTTGATTCTCCAATGCCCCCAGTCCTACTTGCGTCAGTGGTGCGTTGAGGCTCACGCACTGGAGGGTTTTTTTTGCTCTGGAT